CGGAACAGAGCGTCGGGTTTGGGCAGCGGCTCGTCTGCGGCTCGTTTGCGGCTCTGCGCTTCAGAAGGTCCGGAAGGCTCCGGTTCGCTTCGGTTCTTCACACCGGACTCACGACCGTCCGAGTCACTGCTGCTGTCGCTCAGATCATCGTAACCCATGAAGAAATTGCGACCCTCTGTTTGCTTCTCATCGCTCATGGTGGATAAAGATGAGAGAAGGCCGCCGGATTCAAGGATTGTGGGTTTATTCGGAACCGCAGATCAATAACAACTAAACAACACTCGCCATTTTGAATTCGGCGCGCGCTGATGACGTAAGCGCAGGCGGAGCGTAACCCGCAGGAATAAAACATATTAATGTGTAATTATTTTAATGTACAGTCTAATTGATGTATAAATTAACATCTTACCCTCATGGTTTATTATTATTATTTTCTCTCTTTAGTTTTTCCTATTTCTCCATTGTTATATTTCTTACCTATCATCATTATTGTTGTTTGTTCTTTCTTTTCTTAATTTTCTTATGTGTTCTGATGACATTGATACATTTTGTATATTGTATACAACGTTTTATGCCATTGATGTCATCTCTGTTCTGTTTATAAGCATAATAATAATAATAATAATAAAAAGAAATAAAACATTGGAGTTTGTATTCTTGATTAAAAAAATTTAACAGTAGATAGATATATATAAATATATAAAATAGAAATTTTTCTGGACCAATTTTTTGACAGTATTCATTGGAAGAAAGCATGGTTACTCCCTGAAAAATTCTGCATTTCTAATAAAATCAGAGAGGTACATTTTACGATTTTGCATAATGTTTATCCAAGAACTCCCAAATTGCATTTTTTTTTTTTTGATCTCTCTAACTTATGTGTATTCTGCAAAGTCGAGGAAGAAACTGTACTTCATTTATTCTATCATTGTAATGAGTTTAAATCTCTTTGGGAGAACTTAAGTTGTTATTTACCTTCTTTTATAAAATGCGATTTAAAACTTTCACTGAAAGATATATTTCGGTATTTTTCTGGCAGTGACCATGCTATCGAACATTTTGTTTTGCATTGTAAATTTTTTATTCATAAAGCCAGATTTCTCAATATGTTACCTAGATTTGATGTCTTTCTTGCAGAGACTTTTGCTTGTTGTTAAATCTCTTAAATGCATTGATAACAATAAGAAAAACAAGTTTCTGAAGGCTTATGACGATATATTGAGGTCTCATTGTTGTTGTTTTTTCCTTTATGTTATTGTATTTCAATGCAGTGCTGTTTCTTGTTGTTGTTGTTTCCTTTTTGTCTTGCATTAAAAAAAAAGAAATAAAATATATTTGGCGTATTTGTGAAATATACTGTTTAAATAATAAAGTAAAAGAGGTTACATTTAAATGTTCACATGGTATATATTCAGCTAAAAGTGTTATTTGTTAGAGATTTAATTTGGATATTGATTATTCCTGTGATTTTTAGAAAAGGAGTCTTGTTATTGTGTATTCTGGGTGGATATGGAAAATTTCATTAGAAGGAAAACAAATATTATATTCAAGTTAAATAAGTTTCATATATGTAGGTATTATTCCAATGAAAATAATAATAATTTTACTTGTGCAACTTTTTATTATTTTGGGAATATTTCACATAGCCAACATAAGAAGAAATGGCCAGGATCCAAGCCAGATTTCATTAATTTTCTACAGGAGACAAAGGACTACTGCACCAATTTGGAAAACATTGTTCATAAAAGAGCAAAGAAGACTTGTAATATTTTTCACGAATATACAATTTTTGATTAATGAATCAATTGTTTACACTCAGGCATGTTTTTAAGAACACTTTTGTATACTGTTGTATATTTTGTTCTGGTCAATAAAAAAAAAAGAAATAAATGAAACATACAACAGTTTGCATAAACGATAATTTAATTGCATGTTTTCAAATGAAGAGCTATTAAGAATATTATTTTCGTCAGTATCAGGATTGAGGCCGCGGTTGACAGATGTTAGCCAGGTCGGACCAATCACAGTCATTTGTGATGACCTGATGAGGCATATTAAAGGTGGGGTAAGCGATTTTTCAAAAACACTTTAGAAAACCGATTCGGGCCGAATAGCAAAACAAACTTGTAGCCAATCAGCAGTAAGGGGCGTGTCTACTCATGATGTGGAGGAGAGAGCGTTCAGTGCACAGGACGGACATTAGCAGAGCCGAGCGACAGAAAGATAGAGATGGCGGATAAAAAACAAAAGAGGAAAACGTCTGTGGAACAAAAGAAGGCTTAAGGCAAGAAGTAGGACCCGTGTAAATATCGGATCAGCTTTCCAGCGCTGGAGAGAACTGAAGGCCTGCGATCGGACGCCGAGGTTGCTTTGTTTCTTCTCGATATGTGAGTAACACCGTGTCTGCGCCGCAACAGCTAAAGTCTGTCTAGTACACTGGACGTGACAAAGCGACCGCTGAAAATCATTTGAAATTTTCAAATGTCAACATTGGCTACCAGAAATCACTTACCCCACCTTTAAGTTAACCGTTCTGTAGAGAAATTGAGTGGAAAAATCTATTAAAGGTCCCCTGAAATGCTTAGAAACACGCAGCGTTACTCTGTGTTGACGTCATTTGAACTGGTGGAATTTAGTAGCCTACACTTTTTTAATCGCACTGAAGTACTGAAGTAGAAATATACTTTTAATTAGTGTATTTATAGTGTATAACTTCAACAATTTTATTTAGCACAAAAAATAAGAATGTAGGCTACTACTAATGCACGTGCAGTATTGAATTATTTTTAGTGCATTCAAGTAGGCCCTACACTTACCACAAAATAATAACAAAACACTCATTCAAAAGCTGCTTTATTTAACAAACCCATCAAAATCATTACAAAGAGCAAAGACACAGTGTTAAGGGAATTATGGCACATACAAATCACATCTAAAAATCCTGAGTCACATCTATCTTACTGATCGACCAGTCCAGTGTACATCGCCTTAAAAATCGTTTACTTTTTAGAAAATACAAGAGTAGGAAGTAAATACTGCAGGCAGCAGAATCCTGAAGACCTGAGTTGGCTTCTTTTGTTAGGATGATGACAGATTTCAGCATGAATTTGGTGAGATGATAGCAGGGAAAGCTCGGGGTGAATTGAAGTTCATGATGAAACACGAAATTCTTTCCGGATGAGCAGATCACTAATAAACAGCGGTTTCTTATCATACAGTGGGGCTCACGACAACTGCAGGATACTTTACAAGTGTCTTTCTGGCAGAGAAATAACGATAACGTATTTTGCAAAGCATCTAGGAGATGAAGAATGAGACCGATATATAAAAGAGAGACAGCTGTGCTTTCATCGTGGCCTATAATTCACGTCCTTATAAAAGGCGGCTGATGTGTTTATCTGTCCACATCGTAAAAGTGTTGGGACAACTCTAAATCCAGTTTTATAGGCGCAAGCCTGTGTCTCGGAGCTTTAAATCTTCATTTTCCTTTCAAGAGGTGAAATAAACTGAAGCATTACGACAGACGCTGTCTCTTTAATTCGGCGAATCCTAAAAACTTAGCGTAAAAACCGTTAAACTGAAAGGCGAGATGTGAAAGAGAAATTGTTTGTCAACGCTAAATGCACAGCTAGGCAGATTAGCAACTTTAGCTAACTGTCACACGCAGAAAACTATGGAAGCCTGTTCCCGCCAGAGTTGCCAACTTCTTTCAATGGAAAGTAGCTAAACCCCGCCTGAAAAGTCGCTAAATGTCGCTAGATGACGTCATACGCTAATTAGCATATTCATGACGTCAGTGCGTCGTATTGTCTTGCCTCACCCGTGCTCACGTACTGCATTTTAATGCAGCCAAATTCTCAATAAAACTGTTTTTATTAATGTATTTTACTGTTTCTGTTGTTAGACAATGGAATGAATATTATAGTGACTGAAATTCGGTCCATTAAGACTACATAACCAGCTCTCAAAGATTAATCTACACTAAAATCCTAATCACGACATTGTCTAATGAAATCAAATACACATACGATTAAGACAATGGCTGTGCTGTGATTTCGGCTATACTAGCATGTAAAATAGCGTTAGAAGCAACAGAATATCTTTTTTTAACTGAAAGTGCTGCACGCTGGGAAAGCAAGAGCTCGCGCTCGTGAGGCAGTACTGGAGAGTCTCAGAGACTAAATAAGGTTTGTCCAAGAAAGTCGCTAGATTTGTCGCTAGTCGCTTTTTTGGAAAAAAGTCGCTAAGGGGGTCTGAAAAGTCGCTAAGTTGGCAACACTGGTTCCCGCCAAAAAAAAGGTAAATGCGAATTTTCCCCTCACAATTCAAACGTTTTTTTTTTCATATTTTATCCTACATTTTCAAATTTTTTTCATAAAAAACTCGCAATTATGAGGGGAAAAAAGTAATTGTGAAATATGCATTTGTAGGCTACTTTCTTTGTCTTGCAATTCTGTTTCTTTTTTGTTTCTTCCACAAAATGAAGTTCAATACTTTTTTTTTTTTTTTTTTTCAAATTGCGAGTTTATATCTTACAATTCCGACTTTTCTTTTCAGAATTGCGAGTTTATCTTTTGCAATTCTGAGTTTATATCTCACAATGTCGTCACAATTTTGGCATTTTTCTCAGAACGGCGAGGAAAAAAGTCTGAAATAAATTCAGAATTGTTAGAAAAAGTAAGAATTAGGAGATTAAAGGTTGCAATTACCTTTTTATTTTTTTAATCCTGTGGTGGAAACAAGCTTCCACAGAAAACCCCACAAGAAACATTAAAACGCTAGCCCTATATATACACTTTCCATTCCAAATGGTTTACAATTAGAGTAAGTGTCCCAAATCATCATACAACGCATCCATGCCTGATTGTTCAGCTAATATTACCCATAATTCATTGCACCGGACAATTTACGATTTTCTAACAACATTTAGTTATCGGAAAGTTGTGAAGAGTGAAGCTGCAACCACAGCAGGTTTTAAATGTATGATGCTAATGAGTTATTGTTGTTAATGGTAATTTAGCTAGGTGCTAACACTACGCTAATGCAACAAGTTGTCCGTGGTGTCAAGGTAGCATGCAATACTGGTGTGCAGTTTAATTACATAGATGCTGGCAAACTTCTGATTGGACGTCACAGTTTAGATTGACGTCACAGTGAGGAAGGACGTCCAATCAGCACCTGAGGATCGTGAAACCGTGACTATGTTTGAATCCACTAGCATACTACTCTATTTCTGCGGTATGTAAAGATTGCATAGTCCGCATAGTCCTGGATGACCTGCTACATCTGCAATACTGTATCCCACAATGCATTGCGCTCAAGTTGACCTATTATTATTGACTGGTGATTGTCAACATCAACCTCTTTTTCTGGTTAACACACAAAAATTCTAAATGCGCTACATACTAGACTAAACACTTTTCCATCTAACAGAGAACGTTCTGGCAAGGTTCTCCTAAAGTTAACAGAACGTTAATAGAACACTTGTTCAAAGTTATCTGGTCTTTAATAACGTCAGCACTAAAACATTACTCATGAAAAAAAAAAATCTGAAACGTTTTAATTGTTTGTTCATCCAATGTTTTTTTAAACGTTACAACTTAATCGTTTCAGAGAACTTTCAAAAAGAACGTTTCTACAAATGTAATGTTTTCTCTAACGTTCACATAACCAAGAAAAAAAAAGTTTGTAATTTTTTTTTTTTAATTTTTAATTTAAAGAAAATATGTTTATTAATAACTTAACGGGAATGTTAGCAAAACGTTCTTAGGACATATTTGCTATTATCTGGCTTCTGCCTTTACAACGGCAGGACAAACGAACAAAAGAACTATACTTAAAAATAAATCTATAAAAACGTTTTTTTTTTCTTTGCTTCAATTACTCCGTAAAAGTACTTCACTATGGCTTGTTTCCCACATCACATCTGCGCAGTCGGTGGATATTTGTTTCCAGAAAACACAGTTCAAATGCTCTATAAATCTATTAATGAACGTGACGACCTGCAATCTACACAACACAAAATCAGCATTCATTGTTTAAAAACAGGCTTTTTTTGGGGCTTGATGGACGTTAAACGTGATAAACTCTGAGTGGATCCAGATGATTTTAGCAGTTTACAGCTACATTTTGAGGTTTAGGGCAATTTTTGTCACGCAAATGAGATTTTATAACAATTGTAATAGTTTTAATTAACTCACTGTTGCTAAAAAAAGTCAATAGCTAGAGGGCCATCCTGACCGAGCCGGTTAAACTAGTCAGTATGGTCTGGAGACTAGTTACACCAGCTAAGACCACAATGTTGCCGGTTAGAAAAATAAATGTACTTTATTTTCCTCACATATGATAAAGCAACAGGTTTGAGACCTGAAATAAGTTCTATATTGTCTTCCCTTCAGATGAAAACGATCTGATTTATTTTATTTGAGTGTTTCTGCGTGTGGTTCAGATGTTCTTCTTCATGTTAATGAGCACCGAGCAGCAGGTCAGCCCTCCATCCACCTTCGCTTTCTCCTGATTGGTCACTGGGATGAGCATGTGATCCTTCAGCTTCTCAAACACCTGTACACATTAATGTATTAATGAATATAATATAATATCAAATAAATTACTGAATTCATTTTAAAATAAACAAATGCTCAAACTAAAATGTTCATATTTTTGGTTTTAC